CCTTGCTAGTGGTGGAAATATCCCATGCCAAGCTGCCTGGCCCTTTCCTGAGCCCTCCTCCAAGCTTAACCCATTCAGTTTTAGGCTTGGATCTCGTTTGGGGTGGCTCCATTCTCTCAAGTCGCATTCAGTTCTAAAACTGAGATGTGAGGAACCATGATAGACTGGCAAGAAGAGCTGCTAAAAGCTGAGGTGGTGATAACCTAGGAGCCCTCAAGTCAGCTGGCTTAGGCATGGGGTGGAGCTGAGCACCCAACAGCCCTGAAACCCCCACACCCTGCACGTGAGCCCCCTCTTGAAGAGCAGGGAAAAGCCTTAGGAAGCAGAATGCTGTCCACATGAAGCTCCCCTTCATGGTCAGAGCTTCCCGAGACACAAAGCTCCTATCCCCGGTGCACATTCCCCGTGTGATTAGGGTAACTGCGAGGCGAGTTCAAAAGGCAGCTGGCTTCCAAGTCACCGAGCCAAAACGAGCTGGAATTTCTTCGCACTGTAATTTCTCTCTGTGATTATAACAGCGGTCGACTGAGTCAACACAGGCGATGTCAGCAAGCAGCTTCACTCAGGGACGGCGGATACCCGGGGAAAAGCACAGTCGGTGGGACGGGGGGGGCTGAAATGTGGGTGGGAGCTGGCCCAGGCAGATGCACCGTCCTCGCTGGGACATTAACCAGGCTGAAGGATCAGCGCGCCAATAAATACACACGGCTTAGCTGCGTCCTCTGCGAAGGGCTAGAAGCAGAGAGGGGAAATCCTGCCTCTGCTGAAGTCAGGGGGAGTTTTACCACTGGTGCTGAAGGGGATTTCACCCATCACAGCTAATAAGCAGCTGAACAATCAGAGGGCTTTGAGACCACCCTGCTCTTAACTGCGGTATCTTTCTTCTCTAATAGCTCCAGGAAACGTTTGATGTCCTAGGGCACCACCTGTCTCAAGCTGGGACAAACGGGGCTCAAAAATGCCTCCTTTTGCCCAATAAAACTGTGGCTCCAGAGGCTCCATGGATGAGAAACCTCCTTGAAAGGCCAACCTCAGGCTCAAAACTCCAGAAGGACTGTTTTTCCGCAGAACAGAGGGGATCTTGGGGAAGCTACCCCAAATGAGGCACAGCCCACCTAATGCATCCCCCTCTTGCAAAGCCTTCTGCAGACCATCCTGGAATCCTCAGCTCAACGCCCAAACGCCGCATTCTGACATTTCAAAAGGGCAAGAATCCAAAGAAGTATTCTCCTAGGACACACAGGGTGCTGTCCACCCTCTGCTGACATGCCCACAACAACAGCATTTGAAGGCAGGGATGGGGAAAGGATCGTGCCAATTACCTTTTCGGAAGAACAATCGCATGGCAGCACCACATTTCACCTCGCAGCTCTGCACAGCACCCCCAGCTTTATTTTTCATGCATTAGCTAAGTCGGCTGGAGCCTTGCTACATGCCTCTGGCACTGAGGAGGGCAGAGACAGAAGGATCATAGCTGGAATTCCTGCTCAGATGGCGTCCACGGAATGAGAAGCTAGAAAAAAAATCAGCCCTAACTTCTGAGAGAAGCAACAGAAAAAGGGCTGAGAGCCCTACGGAACTGCTGTGCTGTAGGGCAGAAAAGGGCTCGCTCAGGGCACACCACTGCTAACCACTGACCCTCATTCCAGATCTACTTCCTACCAGGATAAATCTCCACTGGTCCTGCACAGAAAACGAGGCTGCTCCATTTGACACTCAGCGAGAATCTGATTCTCCTACCTCGGATGTTGGAGCACTGAATTTGCATTAAAGGGGAACGGAAGTAAAAGGGAACAGGGCTTGGAAACAATAGGTTACATCCTTGAGCTCCTGTGCTGCTTCCCCTGGATGTGCTCGACCTGTGAATTAAAGGGACAACATGGAATTTGGTCTGAGCTGCAAGGAGTTCAGTGAAAGCAAAGCAGACACGCAGGGCGAATTCCTGGCACTGCTGAGGTCGGTGACAAAACTCTCCCTTACTTTGCTGAAGCCAGGATTTCACCCACAGCTTTTATGAAACCAACAACCAGCAGAAACCTATCCAAGATTCTTGTTTTAATTTCACTGGAAAAATGCACAGAAAACAAGTATTTCCCTACGATGGAGGCTGCGAACAGCCTTAAAGTGCCCTCCTGTGTGAAAACATGAAACAAATTGAACCATGAGGCCGATTAACCTGTTCTCCTGCCCAAAGTGAAGGCTACACATAAAAGAGAAAAATGTACGGAGCAAAGGTGTTTGTAAATTGATAATATGAAGTTTGTTTGAAAAACAAAAGAAGAAATGTGTGTGTTTTTCCCACAAAGCCCACAGCCACGGGTTAGCTCTTCCAAAAAAGCCTGACAGATGGAAGCACGCAGCTCCACACACTTCCACGAGGAGCAGTCTCTGTGGAGATGTCCCAGCATAGCATTAAAATGCACACCAAGCTCTAGCACACCATTTTCAGGCTGCAATTTGCTTGTGATGCCATGAATTCAGTTCACTAAACGCTGCCCCATTTACCAGAACAGATTAAATGCTGGAATCGACCACGACTCCCACCTGCTTCAGAAGCAACCGACGGCCACCCACCGAGAAGACGTTCACGTGGGCAGCTCTGCTCGCTCCCTTGTGGAAAGCCATTTCTGCAAGCGGTGTAATTTCCCCACGGAGAGCACAGCTGAGCTGACACAGAGCAGTCTGCAAAGCTTTGAAGTCTAGCTGGATTATTTAACCCACTTTCCTACGGTCGGTTCCAGTCGCTGGTACCTGCCCACCAGGAATGGCACCCTGAACACCGTTAGGCACCAGGAAGCCATTTGACGCTCAGAGGTGACTGCAGTTTGGGGTCCTAATGTGACACAGAAAGGCAGAATGGCAGAGTGGAAAGGGTGGTGGGGACAACAGGAGCACCATTTTCCAGTTTAGCCACAGGCCCTACATCCGTGGACAAACCACATAACCTACATGGGGCCGTTTACATGGGGCTGTAAAATAAGGAGGAGTTATAAGATGGAGGATTCCTCCGGTTTCCTAACTCCGAGATGTGTTCTGAATACCACTAGTGAGATAATTCAGATCCTGCAGTCATGAAGACAATATACACAGAGGTTTAAACACTTCTGAAGTATGAGGGCTTTGCACAAGTGAAACTGGGCAGCCAAAGGGAAGGACTGCTTTAGAAAACCTGGCCTAAGCCATTTCTGCTTAAAATGTTTTTAAAAGTGCCCCAGGGGAAATAATGCTGTTAAAAGCCTAGATGCAGATGACAGAGAACGTGATTTTGATCTAATTCAGCTTAACAGAGAAGCACAAAATGGTGATGCAAGTGGACAACATGAACCAGGTGCACTGATAATGTACCAACAACCAATGAAACAAAGTCAACGGCACTGAAGCTGAAAAGAAAACGTTGTTTCGGTGTTATTAACTTAAATTGACAGCAAAGATTTAGAGGCAAACTGGGTATCTGAGTAACTGAGGCAAACAGTGTGCACACTGAGAATATCCACAGCTACGTTTCCAGTTTACGTTCTGTGTGGGCTGAGGTTATCGTCACACTCAAACTTCATACTCCAAACTGATAGCACTACAAAAAATAATTCCCCAGGTTATTTCAGGACCAAGTTCACAGGCCAGACACCTCTTTGTAAAGTCCAGGCCCAGAAAAAGATCCGTTTCTGAACTAGGGTGGCTGTGCTTGGATCCCCGGCTCCGCCTCTCAAGCCCCATGTTAACCTGAGTCCAGCCACAAGGCCAGAGATCAAGGAGAGCTCCCGACATTCTCTAGATGAGGATGTTTGAGCTCATAAGCTGCTGGGTTTGAACCAAGGCAGAGTCAGGCTGATCCCCAGCTGTGCCTAAGATCTCTTTACAAACCTGGCCTGGACAATAGACTCCAGGACTTATTCAGAACCACGTTCTTTCACTCCTCTGTACCTCAGCCCCCCTCCTGTGAAATGGCAGCACCTCACAGTATGCCAAGGAACGCCAGATGTTCAGATACTGCGCCACACTACACCTTTCTCCTTGACTGCCCCATGCAGCAACAGACTGCAGGGCGCCGTGGTGCAGCTTAGACGTGATCAGCAGCACTGGAACAGAGAGTTTTTTGTTCCCAATTATTATTTCATTTTTTAATCTCCAACTCAAAGCAGGATAACAGCGATTCACTTACAGAGTTTTGAGGTCCTGGCTCTGACAATTCAAGCACCTGTAGCCAAGGTGAGTGGTGCCAGCTAGCTGGGAAGTCATTTATGAGACATTTTGGAGTCAGAGGGGAACACCAGGGGTGTCTGATCCTGCCATCAGCAGGAAAGCCAGTTTGTCTGTGTTTTTATTTTGAGACATTTTCACTTCCCAATTCTTTCTTCCTCCAAAAGAGGATATGAGCACAAAAAGGAACAACGCTCATTTATTATTAAAAACTCCTGGTGCCAAAGCTGCATACACGCAATTGGGCCTGTGTGAATAAGTGGCCCACTTTTCAAAGATGCATCGTACAGGCCACTGGCATCCAGCTGCTGTGCCGGAACTGCACAGTGGGCATCTATCCATCCTCAGACAGCCCAAGGTGGAGTAGCTGTCCTTCCTCTCTCTGTATGTGCAGCAACTTACAGGTGAAAGAGCACAAGCCTCCTGGAGTCTCAGGCATCACGGAGAAAGGGAACTGAGGCACAGGGGCGTGGAGAACCTGCTGCTCATACTGGAGCCAGAGGTCAAAGTCACACTGGGTTCAGTAGGAGCAGACCTACGGAGAAAGTGGCAAAGTCACACAGGGACCGAAATAAATCCTGCCAACAGGGAGGACGAGAGTGAAATGACTGACAGCTGCAAGGCACAGAAACCCCAGGGTTTCCATCCCTTTTCCCACCCCTACAGAAGCTTTTCTCAGCAACCTGAGCAGACATCAGAAATCCCCACTGCTGGAACCTGCTGCCACTTGTACAGCCTACAGTTTCTCTCTTGCTACTAGAGAAAAAGAAAGCTTTCTTGGAAGAGAGCAGCAGCCAGCTTACTGATCATGGTGGTGCCCCCAGCCAGTGCAGCCTTGGTCCCTTGGAAGAAGTCATCAGCAGATGTCATCCCCTGTTCTGGCATCTGGAAGCGGGTGTGAACGTCAATCCCTCCGGGAATCACCATCCTGCCATGGGCTTCGATAGTTTTCACCCCTCCTGGCACAATCAGATTCTCTCCTATTTGCCTGGGTAAACAGGTTCCAAACAGCAAGTCAGACACAAACGAGAGATGAGGCACGCCGTCTGTAAACACACCCCCTCGTGCTGCTTAACCTTGGGTGTTTTCTTTTTCCATATAAAGTGATGTAGAGGATCAGCATACATAGCTGAAAACATGTTATTCTTCCCCTGGAAGCAGCTGCATAATTGCAAGCAAAGTGTGCAAATGCTTCGGGACCTAGGGGGAATGTTAGCCTTAAGAAGAAGGCACGGAAGGAGCCACGCTGGCAGATGGAGAGGAGAAGGGACCGGGCAGAACCCATCGCTGCACCAAACACAACAAAAGCAGCTTTGCTGGGGCTGGACTGGGGTTGCCAAGTGGCAGTTGAGCACTTGATGTTGAGCACTGTGCTGCTATCTAGCAGCAGAGCGTTGTTTTGAGAACACACAAAGAATTTTTGCCTCTATATCATCTGCTTCTCTTCCATGTATAAATACTCTGTGGTCTCTGCACAAATATGAACCCATGCAGACACCAGTTACCAGATTCCTGATGGGACCCCCAAAGCCCTCTCCAGTCCAGCTCTTCGCACAGATTTGTTTTTAAAACTGCAATAGTGGATGACACATCGCAATTAATTAGCTGTCTTTGGCTGGCTCCTCTAACTTTTAACCTTGATTAACAAAGCACATGTGCTCAGTCTTAGCCAGAGCAGGAAAATTCCTTGTTTGTAACCTCTGGCTCGTCCAGTTTTTTCCTAAGAGTAATTTTCCAAAGATATCTGTAATATATTTAATGTGCCAGAAATGCATGTTTCAGGACTGAAAACACAGAAGCGTACTGGAAAGAGGTCTGAACCTTCTCCTTTAAAACAACAGGATCCTTACTAACTTTAAGGGATTGGGGATTGATCCCTGTATCATGGAATTGCAGAAAACAGCTCTGCAAGAGACCTCAAGAGGTCACCTGAGTCCAGTCTCCCGCCCTAAAACAGCATTATATGTGTCAGGGTACTGACCTCTGGATTCAAAATATCTGAAGTCATAACTTGGTAAAATGTTACAACACTCAGATAACTTCAAACATGTGTGTCATCCCAGCAGGGGGCTAGTCGCACAGCTAAAATTAAGCATATTTAAGAACCTCCCTCCACTTGGGCTTTAACAGCAACGGGGTTTGGGGCCATTTGTTTTTTTAATTCAACACCTTGTTTCTCAAGATCCTCCATCAAATGCCAGCACGTGTGTGAAATACTTTTCTTTGCAGCCTAATATGGCACACAGAGTAAATTATTCCTTGCTAATGTGCAGTACGTTTCCGATCACACCGTGGTATCACACTTCACTTACTTTATCAACCCATCTTCCATGTAAATGTCGGCATAGAAGGACTGGTCGTCATTAACTATTTTACCACCTTTGATCAGAAGACGATCGCTCTGCAACAAAGAAGCACACAACAATACATAATTACTCTGTGAGGAAGCTGACAGTCTGCAGTGTCACTTCAGAGATAAAAGTAGAGGCAGAAACAAGCTCTGCATTATTCAGAAGCGCACGTCAAAACACCAGTCAATTGCTGCACTTTCAACTGGAAAGATAAAATATTTTATTTCATCTGCAAGTCCTTTCATCACGCCGATGATCCAAAAAAAAAATTGTCTGAACGGAAAAGGCGGTGGGTTCCAGCAGCCTGCTAAGACAGCACACGCCATCACCTGCAGCAAAAGCATTAAAGGATATTTGAGGGATGCATAATAGCCACGCGCCTGTTTTCTCCGCCTTGGTCGTATGCAGAGTTTCTTGCATGCACCCACACACTGGGGCCATGACTTGGACAGCTATGAGTCAACTGCTGTCAGGGAAATGGACCAAAAGTCTGTTGCCAGGGGTTACACAACACAAACAAACTCATTTTGTCCAACTTCGCGCTGTTTCAATTCAGCGGATACTTTTACTGCCCCTCCAGATCACTGCTGCACAATCAGATGAAAATTAAGCGCGCATTAGCAAATTCACTTCAAGGGAAGGATTTTAAAGCCCGTGTTATGAAAATGCCCTCCAATTAGGAAGCAGTTTGGCAGGAACAGAAAGGTAATTATAACAAGGCAGCTATCAGACAACGCGCTTTGTATCGCAGCCCAGGTTGCATCACGCCTTTGCGGCTATTTTAGGTCAAAACCAAATTTCTCTTCCTTGCAGTAGCCATAAACAAGAGCGAAACACCCTCCGCAGAGCTCTGCTCAGGGATGAAAGACAGAAGCGACTGCTGTGTTCTGGTTCCTTCACTCCCTACATCACACAGGCACATATTGAAACCAAACCACGCAGAGGCAGCGCTCCATTTAATCCACACCTCGACCCCGATTTCTGCACTGCTACTCCGATCGTCTCTCCCCCTCCCAAAGCGTCCTTGCAACGAGACAAAGCTACACCAGCACAGCCCAGGGGAAGGCTGATGAAACCAAAAGCTGACTTCAATAATGGGGAAAAAAAGGAAGGACCTGAACTTGGGGGTGCCTCGAACCTACAGCAAATGACAGTGACAGGGGTGTTCAGAGCCCTCATTTTCAATCGGGACTCCAGTGGTCAAACAGAATAAAAGAACCAAGCTGTTTTCCCAAAGAGCTTATAGGAAAACAGAGGAGCTGGAGCAGCAGATGTTCAGCTGACATGGCTCTGAACACCAAGAGGGCTACACAAATTGCATCAGTTACCGATTTATACCTTTATATCCATCTTTTATATAACCGCTAAAGACCTACGAGATATTAAATGCCTCTCCTTCCACCCCTCCCTTTTTTTTTTTACTCCTTCCTCCTACTGCTGCAATGGAGAGCTTCCACGAATAACGCCACCGATTTCAAAAACAAAGCAAAAACGCAAGATTTCGATTTCGGATCTGCCGTGAATGCCAATAAGCCTGAATGAATTAACTCAGGGCGTGAAACACCCGCTCGTCTTTCAATGCCAGACGCTACAGCAGAACTGCCCTACATGTTTACCGTTTCCAGAAACACTGCAGTATTTATGCCCACCTCTAGTGCAGGCTCCTTGTGCTACTAAAAAGGGTGGCTGCTATTGGAATTGGTTACTGCCACTGACAGCAAGTCCTAAAGCACTGAGCACCCATTAGGAAGAGAAAATAATATATAGAGAGAGACATTTATACATCATGATGAGCACAAATGCCCTTTGGACTGCTTTAAGGATGCTCTGAACGCTTTGGCTAGTAAACAGGTCTCCTGCTGCAGCTGCACGAAGGCTCTGCAAGGAGTGCGGATCCTGCTGCTCGCTTCAACCACCTCTGAGACAAAAGCAGAGGCAGCTCGGCACCGTGCAGGGGCCTGCTGCTGAATTCGGCTCCATCGATGCAGTCAATTTGTACGCATCGATGTAGGCACAAGATGGCTCAAGGCAGATTAGCCGCCGCCTTCAAGCATCAGCTTCGGCGGACAAATTTGGGGTTTATACTAGCAGCAAATAAAGGCTGGGATCTGATTCTTTTTTCCTGTCCCCTATCCTTATGGCTGCAGCGGGTGCACGTAACATAAATCAGAGCATTCGGTCACGAGCAAAATGCGTCAGCCTGCTGGCCCCCAGCAGCGCTTCGACAGCAACCTCCAGCGCCGTTTAAGCACGGGCATCTTTCTAGCCTCTGCCATTAGACTCTTAGAGGAAAACTGGCTTTTCCCCTAAAAAAGGAGGATGCTGCGGTCATCACCGCGCTCCCCACAGGCTGTTTAGGGCAGCCCCGAGCCCCCCTACACGGGTGTCAGGCTGCGAGCCCCGTCTGGGAGCTGGCTGCTGTGCCGGAGGCAGGAGGACTCGCCTGGGTGTGTCCGTGGGGTGCCAGCGATGAAAACTCTGTCAGAAAAAAAAACACGAAAGGCTGGAGCAGCCCGTTAGAAAGGAATATTATCGAGCCTTACGTAAGGCGAAGTTAGCGCCCTGGGATCCGCGCTCCCTGCCCTAAATCTGCAGCCAGGCAAAGGAAATCGGGGAGGGGGGGGATAAATAGGGCTCCTTCCCCGCTCCCCATGGATGGGGGCTGTGGGGTGAGCTTCCAAAAAGCTTCTGGGGGTGGAAAAAGAGAGCCCGGCCCTTTGGGGGGGACCCCCCTGGGCTCGCCCTGAGGGGCTCCAGCCCCGCCTGAGGGGGGTCCCGGGTCCTGCCCCCCCCTCCCACCCGGGGCCCCCGCTCACCGTGATCCGCGGGATGTTCTTCTTCCCCTGGTACGACATCTCGGCCTCTTGATTTTTATTTTATTTATATATATCTGGATCTATAGAGATATTTTTTTTTTTTTTGGCGCTGTTGGTGGAGCCGGAGGGAGGAGGGGGGGGGAGGCTGCTGCGGCGCTATTGTCTGCCGCGCTGCGAACGCTGCCCCGACCTCCCCTCCTCAGAAAGAAAGAAAAACGCGATTAAGAAATAAAAAATAAATCTAAATTTAAAAAAAAAAGATGAGAACGAACGGTCCCTAAATTCAAAGGAATCCTAAGGAAAAAGGGAGCAGGCGGCAGCACGGGGAGCAGCGGCCGCCCCTGGGCTCGCCTCAGCCCTTTCTTCCCTCAGCCCCAGCCCCGGCCGCGCAGGGAGGGGGCGAGCGCCGGCGGCGGGCGGCAGTGCGCATGCGCCGCCTCCTCCTCTCTCTCCCCCCCCTCCCCTCCCCGTCGGGGCCGCGCAGCTCGGGGCGCGATTGGCTGCGAGCCCGGCGGGGATGCAAATGAGGGGGGGGTTACGGGAGGGGAGGGGCCGAGCGAGGAGGGGATGCGGGGGGGAGCCGCCCCCCCCCCCCCCCTCCCTCACTGAGGGGGCTGCGGCGCCCCTCAGGGTGCTGAGGGGGGGGCGCGATCGTGTGAGAGGCTTGGGGGGGTCCGGGGGGGTCCCGGTGGCGCCGAGCACCTGCGGCTCGGTGCCGGTTGAGGGGCTGCGAGGAGACCCGGCGGCAACGAGGGCGCTGCCCTCCATCTTCTTTGTGCCGCCCCGCCCTGCTGGGCGCTGGCTGGAAGGGAAAAAAAAAATAAAAAATAAAAATAAAACCTCAATTTTTCGCTTCGCGGCGGCCCCGCCTAGTCTAGAAGGCGCAGCGCGCCCAGCCCAGGTCCCCTCCTGAAGGCACGGAGACAAATTTTGAGGATTTTTAGGGGATGGAGGGGCCTGGGCTGTGCCCGAGGGGGTGCAGGTGCCCTCATGGCACCGCTGGGTGCCTCAGGCACACGGGGGCTGTGACAGGGCTAAAAGGGAACAAAAATGGATTAAAGGGGATAAAGGCTCCCTCAGTATTTTGTGTGCTTGACCCACTGCAATGTGAAGAAACGGGGTGCAAGGCCAAAAGGGGGGTGCCCACCAACATATGCCTGTGCACACCAGCTCCTCATACAGCAGTTTCCCCAGGGAATGGCACAAAGCATCCTTTAGAGAGCCCAGAATTTAGCCCAAATCCACTCCTCTTTGAACATTATGACTGATTAAGTAATAACCATCACTTACCTTCTTCCCTCAGCCTCTGAGGGTGCCACATCGCACAAAGCAAAGCCCGAGCTGCTGGCACACAGTGCTCTGGTCACCCAGGCAGCTCAGTGAAACACACTCTGCACACCCCATAGAAATGGAAACCTTCGGAAATACCGCTGCAGTAAATCATTACAAAGGCAACATCTGCTCAGACAGATGACTAGCAGGACCTTTGATGTACAGTAGTTCCCAAAAGGCTATACGGGAAAGAGTAAAAGAGCTTTTCGTGGGTGTAGGTGGGGCATCAGGCAACATTTAAATAGCCAATATGCCAATCAGTTAATATCCAATTAGTAGCAAGTGATAAAGTGTCTCATTATGACAGTAGCAAAATGATTAATTTGCTAGCCTGCTGGGTTTTATTTTGATTAGAACTGGCAATACCAAATGGGTTATATCCTGCATCTTTCTGATCTGCACCAGAAGTTTTGAAACCTCAGCATGTTTCTGCTCAGAACATGGACAAAAGCACCTCCATCAAATTGCTGAATTTAGGCAGTGCAGCTGCACCTTTTCTCTCTTTCCTGCTAGTTTTCCTCCTCGACTGTGTATCTGAATGGCTTCTTGCCTTTCTTGCCAGGTAAGAGAGCGCCTTCAGCTATCAAAGAGGAAGCAAAGGCTTCCTATGTTTGAGAAAAAGGGTTTGACAGAGGGCATCAAGGCCCTTGGGCAGCTGATATGAGATGTGCTAAGTCCAGCTGCCATCTCAAGACCTCATCCTGAGAGTAGAAATGGGATTATAGACAAACACACACAAACATGAGCACAGGAAACCTGTGATCTGCAGCGCTCCCTCTCCTCCCTGACCCTGGCCAGGTCATTTCTCCACATTATGCTCTAAGTTGGGAAACCGCAGTGCTGGTAGAAGAAAAAAAGCACCTCTAAAGGAACGATGGCATCAGCACACTAATATTTCTGAAACTATTCTCACCTGCTCAAAGACACATATTTAAAATACTTTTTTGAAAAGGTAATCCTTACTGCACATGGGCAGGACATGGAGTTCTAATTCAGGACAGGAGTTCTTGAACTTTGAATATATTCATTCCATAACTTGAATTCAATACTGACTAGGTTCAGAAAGAAATAATGAATCTTCAGATGACACTTAGCTTTTCCTTCCCATCACCATGTTGCAACAACCTAAGTAGTACAGAAGAAATTAAAAAAAAAAAAAAAAAGAGAGAGATTAAAGGGCTGAAAAACATGGTTGTTCAATATTAATATCAATATTAAGCACACAGCACCAAGGTTTAAAAACTTCCCTATGATTTAGTGTGTATCTAAAGGACCAGAACTGAGCTTCCAGGCACATTTTCTTGTCTCTTTTATACCAACTGGCAACATAGCCCAATTTTCTCTCTTGTCATAGCTAGAAGGTTGTCAAAAATAAACAAGTAAATAAAATTACTACTAATGCAGTTATAAACTGCCTTATTTAGCCTTGCTAAACAAAATCAGGGAATGGATAACATCTGCTGCATAAACATATGTGCCATAGATATCCACTAGTGATAAAGATGGGCTAGTGAAGCTAAAGGGCAACATTCAGATGAGAACAGGTGGGAACAGAGTCTGGTAATACAGAGAGCCCCTTACAAAAGCTGATTCATTCTCCCAGTGAAACTGTAGTTTATGTCAACCCCTCCCCATAAGTTAAAATGACACTTATGAAGTGTCAATGGTAGGAGTGAGCTCCTAGGGTAAAGGAAGGGAGTTGAATGCGCTCAGTAAATCCCTGCAGGCTGGTGCCCAGTCCAGCTGTCACACAGCAGTGCCGATACCTGCCAAGGTATTGCGGGAAGTGATGGGACTTCTAGATAACACTGATGCACTTTATCTTCCATAGGTCAATCAATGCAGGCTGAGCAGGCTAAAATTAGAAGGTGCTACAGAACACTCCCAGATCTTCCTTGCCAAAAGCTACCAAAGCAAAGCGACGAAGGCCGGCCGGCCAGCCCATCCCAGCCCCCTGACTGCACCACTACGACAAGAGCAGCAAGGTCACTGCAGCCAAGTCACTTCGGAGGCGGAGGAAGAGTAAAAGAACATAAACATCTTTAATGATGCTCTATCAGCACAGCTGCAGGCCCTGGCAACAATCACCAAATGGCAGAGCAAGGGAGGAAATGCAGAAACCAAAGCATCACACCCACGCTTGCACTGCCAGCCTGAGGGTCACTGGGGGCTATGTTGGCCACTGGATACACAAGGTTGCTCCCAGCCATTTCTGCACAAATATCTGGTATAAGATATTTTGTGCAGGATTTTTTTTTGCAGCAGAAACATGTTTCATGTTAAAGGAGTGTCTGTGTCTAAATTTGTCTTCTAGAAAGGTCGAGAGAGAGAATTGCACAAGAATATAAAAATCTCTGTACAGCAATAAAATAAATCATCACGGGCATCAGTGGAAATCGGTCTGCATTAGCTCTGAACCTTAACTTTACAAATCCTGTGGAATACCATTACACACTTAGCACGGAATTTTATTCCCACAGTGGAGTTACTGGACGGTTGGAAAGAAAATATCAGAAGGGTCTCTTTCCCTGTGGAACTGCAGTGTAATTGTGTAAGTGTAAAACCAACCCCACAGAACTCCTGCAACAACCAATTGCTTTCACTCCTACTAAATTCTTAAAGGTTTATCTACCAGGACATTTTGCTATGAAATTTTAAAACCCATAAATGGAAATACATGATTAAAATAGGGATCGGAGATGGATTTAAAGCATTGCTGGGAGTATCTGAAACTCTAGTGCTAGTGCATCAACAAGCTCTAGATTTCCCCTTAGGCTTGTTAGATGCCAATAATCCCCACTCCCTAGTGGGGAATCACCCAGTGCCAAAGTCAGCAAGGCTCTTGTTACTGCAATCAGAGGCAGCAGGACTGGGCCAAAAGAGCTTTCAAGAGCTCGCTGATCAGGACCTAGTTTTCCATCCTGGTTCTGCCCATGCCAATTGCTCCATCAGTTCCTAGTCTCTGAGACTTAAAAGGAGTTTTCTATGGATACAGCAACCCCCTGCAGCATGTTAGGTGTTGGGAAGGTTAAATACAGGCTTGTCCAGGGCAGGAGTGTATCTGTTCTTTCCAAAATGTGATGAAAGAACTCTCCCGTATTACTCACTACAAATCAAATTACAGAGGGAAACTATCCTTGCCAATGAGCATCTCAGTTTTAATTTTCTCTTATGAGATAAACCAAAGTGTCATTCTATGGAAATGACCAGAGGTCAAACATGGTAATACGAGGAGGCAAAATCATACAAGTTCTCAGAGAAGTAGCCTGGCTTTACTTTGAATACAAACCATCTGAGTTTGCGAGGGGAGCAATTCATTTTCTGGCCACACAAACAGGTCAATAAAAAAGGCACAATTGATCTACAAATTAGAATTAACTGTCCAATTGATTTTGTTTCTTTTAAAATCCCAAGAAGCCTTGATAAGGTTGAGAAATAACTTTCTAATAAGACTATTACTGTGTGTTTCTTAGAGGCAATGTCCTTAGCATTTCAGATGTGCCACAGTCTTAATTGTCCTCAAAGAAGCCCATGGAGTGCCCTGGAGTTGTGCACTACCAATTCTTAGCACTGAGAAAAGTCAGCCCTCCTCTGGGCTCCAAGCAGGGGCTGCTCTGTTATGGGTAGTACATGACACAGCAGAAATTTGCTCTCATCTGAACAGTTTACACTTGTGCTTTGACCTTTACTGCAGTAAGTACAGCATTTTGGAGCAAAGGCACGGGGCATTTGGGCATCCGTGTCACTGCTCCTCCCTTACCTCCCGAGCAAAGAGATGAGTATCTCCAGGCCCCCAGGAACCATGGGTAGGATCCAAGAAACAGCTATTTTCAAAGCAGTTTAAACTGTTTCTTAATATTATAATCCCTTTTCCATCCCCCAAACCTACAGACCAAAGCCTTAGGCTCTCAGAAATTGTTTTCATTGCTTGTCAGCCAGCTTTGCCTACCTGTAACATACCAGGCAATCATTACTCCAGACAAGGAGAAAAAAATGCTGACCCATCCCAAGTTAAATTCCAGCTCTCTGCATGGTGAAGAACCCAATTTTGCACTTCTTTGCGAGTTTTGCAGTAAGGAG